GCAATATCAGTACACTCCCACACAAAAGTTCAAAATTTTGAACATTCATGAAGCTCATAAAACACGAAATTAATATCCGATTCCATTCGGACTCGGACATTACAATATTTCCATCAACAGAAGATCTGTTATAAATATGGCAGAGATCGGAACCATCATAAAACCGAAATAAGTATCCGGTTCTCTTCAAATTACACACATCACAATATTTGTAATAACCCAAGGTCTGGTGTGAAGATGGAGGATATATAAGACCACTCCATCCAGTACCTCCCCCACAAAGAGTCAAAATTTTAAATAATTGTAACTCTTACAATATGTGAAATAAGAGTCCAATTGTTCTCATATTTCACACATCTCATTATTTCAACCAACTCAACATGTAATCTGAAGATGCGATATATCGGTTCACTCCTTCCGGAACCTCCCCCACAAGGGTCAAAATTTTTGAATATTCCTGAAGTTCATAAAACGCGATATTAACAACCAGTTCCATTCAGACTTGGTACATATCAATAGTTCCATCAATGCAAGATCTGATGGTAGAGATCGAACCGGAGATGGGATCTATCGGTCTACCCCTTCTGTTACCTCCCACATAACGGGACACAATTTTGAATAGCCATGAAGATCGTAAATCGTGAAATGAGCATCCGATTCCTTTTAAACTCGGCACATCTCAATATTTCTACCAATACATGACCTGGTATGAAGATGTAATATGTCGGACTACTCCTTCTGGTACATCCCCCATAGCGGGCCAAATTTTTGAAAACTTTAAATGCCTACCAGTATTCCCGAATTATTTATATATTTTACTTAAAAATTAACCTGTCATTTTGAGTAAAAAGAAAACGTTAAAGGGAAAAGATCAAAATCCAATTTGCGAACAATTTTCAAACCAAATTATTGAAAACACTTTTGAAACAATTAATTTTTACTTCAGCGAATATTAGAACATGAAATATAAATTAGAACATGAAATAATAAATGACACAAATGAACTTCACCTAATAAGTCAACAATTTCAAATAAACATGATTCAAGATTATTATTTTATATTTTGAACTGTTTTCTATTAACAAATTGCAAAAGTGGAAAAAATAGTAGATTCTTATTGCAGGTTTTAGAACGAAACTTTTCTCTATATTTTTTCACAATACGACTGATTCCAAATATTTGTACTTGACTGATTGAATGTGGTAGTTGTAACCATTTTGAAAACTGATATGTAAAAAGGATTTCGATTAACCATCATAACATTAAGCCCAATTTTAAATAGAAAACAAAAAACGTATCGGAAATTGCCTCCCATCATTCAATACATTGGAAAACATATATTTAAGCATTTCATTCATAGTTTTTAAAGAACAAAGCGAAGTCTCATTGTGGTATCAAATGTCCCAAATATCAAAAACTGGAGAATTAAATAAAAATTTCAGATAAAAAAATCTAGCTTATACAGATTGAATGCTTTTTTCGTGTAGAATGAGAAAATATTGCATTTTAATTTTGTGTACACCACCTCCCACCAAAATAAATGTCCTGTAGTTAAATTGCTATTGATGTTAGCGGAAAATGAATGTGATTAGCGTTTTAGCACCCATACCCGATTTCACGGCAGTGTAAAGATCCATAAAGCGTTTTTACTGCTACTTCCAAATCATCCTCTTACATTACAACAGAACAAGCGGTCATCATGCAAAGCATAGAAGTAAAAAACAAAATCTTAAGAATTGTTGTAAGTCCATCCTTTTATTAAACAAATAATTTATTACAAAAAAAGTATAGTTTAAATAAAAAACCAAGCAATAAAAGAAAATTGCAAACTGATGCCTAGGAATGAAAAAAAAAAATAATAATAATAAATTAAAACAAACTAAATGAACAAACAAAGAACAATGACATCCAATACAAAATAAGTCAAGACTCTATTCAATTTTAAATGTATTCCAATAATCTAAACAAAAATATGGAACTTCCAATATAAAGTTATGTAGTTGTAATTACACAAACAAAGACATACATGTATAGTTTAATGGTGTTGTTGAAGAAAAAAAAAACAAAAACAATAAAAAATATATAAAAATTTTAAAACAAAATCAACTGGTTTCTTTTTATTTCATGGTTTGCATTCGATTCTATAAAGAAAGCAGCCACATCTAGAAAACAAAATGATTGTCTTTCCACCATTATTTTAGAACAATAAAAATTTAGTATTAAGAAAATGGTAATTTACACAAATACTTTAATAATGGTATTATTTAATTACAAGAAGGAGAGTGTCTTGTGTCCATTTGTGGTACTCTGTGTGTGTGTGAGTGTGACCTGTGATGTTTTCTATGTGTTTGTAAATGTTCACTTGTAATTTATTTTATTTTGGTGAAATTTAAACTGTCAACTAAAAAAAGTTATGATGAAAATATATAAATATAAAAATAATAAGAATGGATTGTAAATGTTGTGTAAATTAATTTTTAACTCATACTCACAATTTTATATTTCGTAATAGTAAATTAAGAAAAAAATATGGATATGGGTGAATGGTCTGTAACATGTACTTACACAATAACTTTACTTGGTGAATTCATTTCAATATAAAACAATAACAATCAAATAAAAAAACAATTGCAAACTTCACTAATATATTTATATATAGTACGAAAATAGCTTTAATGTGCTTTGTCCATGAATTTAATACACATTTCTAAAATAAGTAATATATTATATGTTTTCTATACGAGTGTAAGTATTCAATTTGTAAGAAATATATTAAGTTTTCATGAGATTTCTTTTTGGGAAACATTGAGAGAAAAGATTCTGTTTTAAAAAAAAAGTTGTATAAACCCCGATTGCACTGTGTCGTAGAAATCAACTTTTTTCCCTAAATTTCATGAAAACCCTGAAAGATTATGAAAGTAGAATCCATGAATTTTAAGGTATTCATTACATGGGGAATGTTATTGCAAAAACAAATTAACCCCCATTCAAAACGTTTAATAGCTCTGGTCAATTTCTTAAAAAAGGTAAAAAAACAGAATTAAAATTAGATCACAACATTCTATAAAAACATATAATTAAATATATATGTTAGTATTAATACAAGGTGGCGCAAACGTAATCGGCCTATCAGAAAATGCTATAATAATGCTGTCAACAAGGTGGCGTAAAAGTAAACTTTATGTAACACCTCGAAATATTGGTTTCCCACATAGGAAATTATATATGGATCTTCCTATCTTGCCGAGCTGAGTCGATCTAGCTATGTATGTCCATAATATTCAGGGATTGAAATGGACCAAAAACTGAAAATTTTCCTGATTTCGCAGTTGCTCTACAGGTCGCAATTACAGACCCATCGACGCGGAAGTTACCATGGGGCTAGAGCTTAGGGCTGGGCAAGATTTTTTCAATGACTTATGATATTGAAGTATATAGTAATATGTTTGCACCTTACAACACAGGTTGGGTTTATTACAACATGTTGCAATTATCGTCCGATCCTCACGGATGTTTCAAACTCCACGTTTCTAAGGAACGGAATACCAGAAAATTTTTGTGTGCATTTGAAATTTGTATTAAACTAATTTCGTTTCTACGACTTATAGTCCCTGAAAATGTTTGTTTTAAAGCTTCTGAATCTTTGTAGAAAATTTTGTTAAAAAATCCACAATTTTTTGGCTAATATTCCACGATAAAAAGGCTTATAGTCCTTGCCAACTTTTGTCAAAAACAAAAAAAAAAAAAACACGATTTTAGGGATTATAGTCCTTGAAATGTTATGTTTAAAAATTTGAGGAGCGCAGACTTGTGGTCCTTGAAAAAAATACTCTTACAAAATCCATGATTCGAATGTTCAGATTCCTTTAAAAGATTAGTTTAAAAAATTCACGATCCAAGGCTCAGATTCCTTTAAAAGATTTGTTAAAAAAATCCACGATTCTAAGGCGATAGTCCTTCAATGAATGAATGCACGATTCTAAGGCACATAGTCCATCAATATTTATTTTAAAAAACAAACGATTCTAATGCTCAGATTCCTTATAAAAATTTAGTTTAAAAAATTCTACCTTCTTGGTCCACGGATCTAAACTAATTGTCCTTTAAACAAATTATAAAAAACGAATTCTGAGGCTCAGAGTCCTTAAAAAATTGTTAAAAAACAAGACTCTAAGCCTCATAGTTCTTGAAAAATTGTATTTAAAAATTCACGATTTCAAGACTAAAAGTCCTTTAAAAATGTTTTTTCAAAAATCACTATTCTAAGGCTCATAGTCTTTATTTTTTAGTCCACTATTCTAAGGCTCAGAGTTTCTTAAACATTTTGCTTACAAAATTTCACGACTCTAAGACTAAAGGTCCTTAAAAAATTTTATCAAACTAAGATTTAGAGTCCTTGAAAAATAATTTTTACACAATTCTAAGGCCCAGAGTGTAAAAAATACGATTATAAAATTAAGAGTCCCTGACACATTTCGTTTAAGAAAATGACGACACTAAGGCTCATGGTCCTTGAAAAAAAAAATTATTGAAGGAATCCATGATTCTAGGGCACTTATTCCTTTTATAATCCAGGATTCCATAACATATAGTACTTGAAAAAAATTTTATTAAAAATGTTCGATATAGAGCTGATAGTCTTTGAAGAAAATATGTTTATTTATTGTAAATCAAAAACGTGTCTAAAAATCCAAGACTTTAGAGCTTGATAGTTCTTGAAGAAAATATATTCAAAAATCAAGGATTAGAAAACAAATAAACCTTGAAAAACACTACAGAGCCGAAAGTAATTATAAATACATTTAATATATAATTATAGAGCTAGTATAAATAATATAGATCCGTGAAAAAGTCCTTAAAAATCCACGATCATAATGTATTTTAATGTCTTTGAATCTCATGAAAACATAATAAATTTCCATTTTCCTTTTAAGTTCCATACTCCTTTACAGATTTGACATATTTTGCCATGCAATTCCTATTTTTTCGTTTATTTTCAGGATGAAACTCCTCAGGGATTCTTTGATGATCATGGTCTCGGATAAAATGTATCTACACCTTTTGGGTACTCTGTATATGTGTGTTAGTACAACAAATGTAATAGAAACCTAAATTCTGTCCTTACAAAAGAAAATTTCAAAAAAGCCAAAAAAAAACAACATATTTTTGAAATTTTTTTTTTTAAATCTCCTGTCGACCCTCCCCCAATTACAGAAAAAAAAAACATTTACACCAATCAAACATTTAAGGAGTGCTTTTATACAACAACAACAACAACAAAACTATATACATATATCTCCATGTATTCTTTATATAAATAAATGTACCAACCACCAACCTTAAAAATAATATCAATGAACACCCCCAGAGCTACATAACATATAATTTGTTGTATAAATATATCCAATAAGTATCTACTTGTGTATGTGTGCGTAGTATTATTAACTAAAGAAGAAAAAAAAACACAAAACAAAGAAAATGGCCTTAATTCTACTTAAGTTTTAAACGATTTTATAATTTATATATATTTTTATTAATTTTGTTTTTGTAATTCATTCATGTAGCACAAAACAAAAAAAAAAAAAGAGAACACAAAAAAAAGACACAGCCGAAAAACGAATTGATTGGATCCTTGTTAGTTTTAGTTGTATTTTTCATTAAAAAAAACACAATTTTCTCATTTTCATTCCAAAAAAAGTTTTATATATAATATAATTGTGTGTATAGCCACATACTAATGATTATTACAAAAAAGAAAACTATATAAAATTTATTATAATAAATATTTGCTCAATACAAATGGGTTTTTTAATCAAGGGTTACAGATGGATGGATTTGATGTAAGTATACATATTTAATAAAAAAAACTTTATATTCACAATATCTACGTATTGAAAACCCTCAAAATGACAGCTACAGCCCTATAAAATGCATTCCAAAGATAGACGACCTTAAAGAGGATTTATGTAGATTGAAGACCCTCAAAAAAAACTTCTATGGACTTCACGTTCTTGCAAAGGCCTTCAATAGATTACTGCATCATAAGAACTTCTATAGATTGAAAACTTCTAAATATTGAATTGGGGTCTTTTATACATAGATTGCAGATGGAAGGCCTTTAAGAGGACTTAAGAACTCCTCACTACTACCAAATCGTCTTTCAAAATTGTGTCTACAAAACAACTTTTAAAGATTGAAAACGTAAAAAATTTGTACAGATTGAAGGTCTTTAAGAAGTTTGCCATAGATTGAAGATCTTCATTATGTCTGGCGAGGTTTGAAGTTCTTAAACACAAACACAAACATTCGGCAAATATTAGAAAAAGAGCTCGGGGTAAAGCCATTGAAATTCTAAAAAGTGCAAGAGTTTACACCGCAACGGAATAAATATAGACTCAAACGAGCTAAAGAGTTGCTTCGCTTGAGCGAAAGTGGTGAACTGCCGAATTTGGTTTTCTCCGATGAAAAAACATTCGTTGTCCAGCAGTTTGTAAACAAACAAAATGATCGTGTCTACTTGCCAAAGAGTAGAGAGAGAAAATGTGCACCTTCGGTTGGCCACCAGAACTCAAGCACCGGCCAGGGTGATGGTATGGGCCGCCATAACAGCCAATGGTCTCTCTCCGCTGTTATTAATCGACCGTGGCATCAGAATAAATGCCGAATATTATCGCGAAAATATTCTGGAGGGTGTATTAAAGCCTTGGGCACATAAACATTTCGGCGGCAGACTTTGGACATTCCAACAGGATTCAGCAAGCGCTACCCAAGAATGGTTACAAAATTAGGTTCCTCGTTTCATTTCCAGCGCACAATGGCCACCAAAATCTCCGGATACCAATCCGTTGGAATATTGTATCAGGAATATTTTGGAAAGCAATGTTGGCACTAAAAAATACCAAAGTATCGATCACCTCAAGCAAGCGCTTCGCCGGGAATGGGCTAAAATCGCGCAAAACAACATTCGGGCAACGTGTGACTATTTCATTGACCATTTGAAGGCCATTCGTGCCAAAGGTGACCAATTCGAACAAATCTAAACTTATTCTAAAATTTGATGCTATTTCCTAACTTTTTTGCTTTCGTTCAATAAAAGAAAACAAAATAAAAATTATGGCGTTTGACTTTGAGTGAGAAGAGAAAACCAACCGAATGGTTTGGCTGTTGATTCAATTCTCGATCCGGCTCGAAGGATCAATGTTTAGATGAGGAAAGAAAACCAACCGAACGGTTTGGCTGTAGATTCAATTCTAATTTTATTTCTAAAATATGTTCCTTACGTACTACTGAAACTAATCTAACTTAACCTAGTCGCAGCCACACAATTGTTCTTATCTATTCTAATATTGAATGGAGAACATTGCAGGGCTGCTTGGCATCTCATTCAAGTGGTCTTGTACATCTACTCAGCGCATCAATATATGTGCGTGTGGGTCATAACCTTTATTATCTCACGCATTATCGTATGCGTCAGCGCACAAGATCACCGAATTCTTCACATGTGATATTTTATGGCGGCTGGGAAATATTTAATTTTAGAACATTTATCTTTTATTGCTACATTTTCCCAACGCCTCAACCGCACTTAAAAGTATGTACAAAGTATTTTGTACATTCTCCCGGGCGGCTTAAATGCGTATATTTTAGTGGACTGTATTAGAAATTAAATGGGTGTAGAACAGGACTGTATAAAAAATATTTAGATTAAAAACTAATTTTACTATACTATATATGTTGAAATAATATCAGGTAACCGCTTCCAGGAAACGACTCCAACGTTTAATCCAGCCTCTCTTGCCGATTCCTCCACCTTTATCTGCCGGCTTCATTCTCCATACCGCATTAATAGTCCATCGATGCAGACCGCCATCATTCACGTCGGAAAGGATTACCATTGGCTCTATGGTACGCTCTGCTTTGTCGTCTTCCGTTCTTAAGGTTATGCGTGGCTTGTAATTGAGTTCTCTCTGGTGATATACTTCCGAAACCAGAAACATTTCTTGGGCTTTTTCTAATTCGTCGATGCATTCTTTTCCTGCAAATTTACCACATTCGTAGACAATTTTTCGATCTTCTGCGCGTGGCAGCTTTTCTTCTTTTTCCTCTTCTGCAATAAGACTTTTTATTACTTTTCTTACAGAATGTTCGTCCTCATTGCCATTGCATCGATTGTTTTTTAATAAATTGAGAGGTTCCTTCCGAAATGGTTTTCTATATGTCAGCGCTAACACGACACCAGAATATTCTTCTTCTTCCCGTTCCTCAGAATGAGGACTTGCCGGCGGGAAATTATTTAATAATTGATGTGAGGATCTCCATTTCCCAAAATTTTCATCCAAGCATCGAATTGGTTTGAGTTTCACAGAATTATGTTCCTCTTTTACATCTGCCAGTTGTTTGGACAGGTCATCTCTCTCAGCTTCCAAGACTTGCCACGCTCTTTCTGAGCTAGCCAATTTTTCATTGACTTTCTCTAACTTCATTTTCAGATGTCGCACTTGATCTTTCTGAACACGATGTTTTTCTTCGAATTGTTCATCTTTGGTCCTCAGGTTTTCTTCATATTTGGCGAGCAGATACTTTCCGTGGGCCTTCGCATTTCTCAATATCATTTCACTTTTTTCCACTTCGATTGTTAGTTGAGAACGCAGTTCGATTGCTTGTCCTTGCAGAGATTGTAAATTATTTTCATAGGCTTGCATTTGTTCGTGCAAACCATCTTCTAATTCTCTGTCGTAATCTTCCTTTGTTTCGACATAGCTAAGTTGTCTGTTCTCTTCCACTTGCTCTTCCCAAGTTAAATGGTCATATTTCAGCGAGAGTATCCATCGTGACGGAGGTTTCATCGAATCTTCGATTTCTTCATCGATGTCCAAGTCTGTGTAATTGCGACTCCGGGTTGCTAAAAGCTTCATTGCCGATAACATACACACATCTACATCACAGGGTAATGTCTTCATATGGGTTGGAAGATATTTTTGGTGTACCCTCAAGTACCGTCGTAACTGGTAATATGTATTTTCTACCAGTACCTTCCATGCCGCGACGTGTTTCACCTTTTCAAAGGCTGACGTCGACGTTAACAGCTGGAAATAGTCTGCCAAAGTGGTTATATTTTCTTCCATGTTTTTATTCATTTTTTATTTAAATGTTTTAGATGGGACTATTTGTCCTCTTTTAAAAATTTTTTATATTGCCTTCTTGGCTTTTTTCGATTTTTTGATTTTTTCAGTTGGGACTTTGATGTCCTCTTTTCCAAAATTGTATATTTTTATGTGGGACTGTTGTTGTCCTCTTTTTGTTATGTTTTATTTTTTTAGTTTGCCCCGTGGGTCTTTTTTTATATTTTTAAATTTTGCCTTTATGGCTCTTTATAATTTTATCCCTCAACGGATTTTTATTGGTAGCTATTCTCCTCTTTTTTGAAGAATAGCTACTTCTGCTGTAGTGAGTCTCTTACCACTGGTGGGGGAAAACTCCTACTATTTTCTTTTTGTGGTCGCTAATTCGTTTCACTTTGACAAAAGTGAAGGCTCGATTGACCAATGAATGAGAAGAGAAAGAACAACCTTATTCTTTGGATGTAGTTTCAATTCTTAGTATCCTGCTCGAAGGACCAATGAATGAGAAGAGAAAACCAACCGAATGGTATGGCTGTTGATTCAATTCTCGATCCAGCTCGAAGGATCAATGTTTAGATGAGGAAAGAAAACCAACCGAACGGTTTGGCTGTAGATTCAATTCTAATTTTATTTCTAAAATATGTCCCTTACGTACTACTGAAACTAATCTAACTTAACCTAGTCGCAGCCACACAATTGTTCTTATCTATTCTAATATTGAATGGAGAACATTGCAGGGCTGCTTGGCATCTCATTCAAGTGGTCTTGTACATCTACTGAGCGCATCAATATATGTGCGTCTGGGTCATAACCTTTATTATCTCACGCATTATCGTATGCGTCAGCGCACAAGATCACCGAATTCTTCACATGTGATATTTTATGGCGGCTGGGAAATATTTAATTTTAGAACATTTATATTTTATTGCTACATTTTCCCAACGCCTCAACCGCACTTAAAAGTATGTACAAAGTATTTTGTACAGACTTCGTTACAGTTTTTTTTTATCTCACCCTGTACATTCAGGAGAATATTATAAGAGCGTTAAAATCAAACATTAAAGGATTTATTATTCAGAATTTTTAATTTAATTATACAAATTTCATAAATTTACATTTTAAAAATAAAAATATAATATTAAAATTATTTTGTTTGTCTACATTTTTTTTTGACATAAAACTCTGACAAGAGCATTACTTACAATAACAAATTTCTATGTGTTTCTTATTTAATTATATTTGTTGTAAATTTGCTTGTAATTTCTAACAATTCTACCGTGATATATTTTAAATGTCTATTTCCGTTATAAGAATATTTTGTCTACTTGCATTCGATCTGGCAACATTGTTAATAAAAGAAACCACACACGAACACACAAACGTTAGTTATCAATAAATTGTTGATTTATATTACGAAAATAACCATACATAAATATAACACAAGTGTGGTGTGAGACAAAATAAGAAATTGGGGGTTAAAGAGGAAATCCAAAAGTAGAAACAAACAAGGGGAGAAGACGACACGACGAAGAAAACATAATATTTACCACAAGGAAAAAAAGGATATGGCAATACATGCATTTTTACACAAGCACAGACTTACACGATACTACTGAGCACATAGAACAATAATTCTTATTTAGAGAGAAACAATGCTCCCCGTGTGTGTGTGTGGTGGGATAACTCAACAACTGGCGAAGAGACAATGTGATGTTATGTTCTGAGCGGCCAGAGCACAACAAACTGTCAAAAAATTTCCCACTGTTGAAGTGGGAACAAAAATTCTTACAAGGAAAATTCTTAATGGGGGTGCTCGTGTGTGCGTTCGTGTGCTTGTGTGCCTTTTTTGGTTGGCGAGAACTTTTTTGCCAGATCCAGAGCGCATACGAGTCCGAACCACCACGGAAAGCAGTAGGTGTCTCTGCATACGTTCGACAGGGCACAAAACTTTAAAAAATTATATATATACATACACATATATACATATATATATAAATCTCTATATAAAATATATATAGAAAAATACAAGAAAAAGAAAACTTAATTAAATATGTTATAGTTTAATAAATACAAAACATGCAAAAGTAATTAGTAATCATAAATAAAAAGTAAAGAAATTTGAAGAAAAAGTTATTACACAAGCAAAACGAAACGTGTGAAACAAGAATGGAAAAATTTTTTGAAGTTCAACCAAGAAGAAAATTTCTATAATGCAAACGAGAAAAAATGTAATATAACAAAATTTTCATCGTTTTTTCTATACCAAGTGTGAGCGTGTGTGAGTGTGTGCGCGCCTGTGAGTGTGTGTATATGTGTGGCAAGTTTCCGAGTGTGTGTGAATAGTAGTGTTTGGCAGTGCCTGTAAAAGTTCGTGGGATCGAATTGGTTGGTCGTGGTCCTCTTTTGCTTCTTCTTCAACATCGCCATCATCGTTGTCGTCGTCGTTTTCGGGCACTAGTGTATACGAGTGTGTGTGTTTGTGTGCCTGTGTGTATAGGAATAAGTCAAAGGAAAGTTTTTTCCTGTGCATAAAAATTTTTCTATACACACAAAAGATGGAAGAATGAAAAAAAAAACAAGAAATAAGTTCTACTAGTGAATGAAAGAACAAAGTTTATTAAATAAAATAAATTTCATAAAAGAAGTCAATAAAATGTCTGTAGAAAAAGAGAAAAATGTTCAAGTGTAATAAAAGAAAAAATCATAGCGAAAAAGTTTAAACAATTGAACTTCACCAAAAAGGAATACAAGAAATCACACAACCCAAGGAATTGTTTTGTGCTTTCTTATCATCGAAATAAAATGGAAAACTCAAAACTGGATTAACATCAAATTAGAAAAATTAATAAAAAAAAATGTCAATATAATTTTCAATACCACAAACAAATTGTGTTGAACAAAAAAGAACAAGATGAAAAAAATCAGCAGTGGCAAAAAGTTATAGAAAAAAATTCTCTATCTATTGCGATTTATTTGAGCAGAGATATATTATGGTTCTGTCAAATATCAGTGCTTGCTCTCACTCTCTTTACCATATTCTCTCTTTATTTGTGTTCTCAATGATTTTTCCCAAATTTTCTTATGGGATTATTGAATTGGTGGGAATTTCCTTTGGCTTATGTGGTGGGAGTGTGGGGTGTGTGTGTTTGTATGGAGTAAAATAAACCATACAAGAGCGTGAGAGAATATTACTCAATTTTTCAGAGAGAATTATTTGCCATTTGTAATTCACATAGCGAGAGAAGGAAAATTGAGAATGAACCATTGTAGTGTAAACATTTTGACAGGAAAATGTATTTTTTTTCAAATCCTCTTCTTTTTCTTGCTATTTTTTTGTTACTGTCAAAAAATGTCAGGATAATTGATTATAGTTCTAGGTTTTTTTTTTTTTTTGAAAAATGTATTAAATTAGTATTGAGTATTTGAAACGTAATAAAAATTAATGCATTTTTAAATAAATAATTGCTAATAAAAAACACTTTTTATAATTCAATCAAAATGATTAGATTTATTAGAAGAATACTTTCAACAAGGTGGGGTCAGCATACATAGGTTTATGTTTAGATATACATAACTTTTGAGACTGTTATTTTTCTTCTGTTGATATGTTTGAAACTTATCATGTATATCTGATGGTATAATCTGCATACGAAATACAAAAGTATTTATATTAACAACATAATTATTTTCATCACTGAATGTGATGTATAATGCATATTAGCATCTGTAAAATTGATGTATTTATATGATTTAAGGAGTAAATCCTTTAAAATCCATATCTGTTTTAATATCTTTGTACATATTGCTACAAATGTTTAAATTTCTTTAACCAGATCCAAAGAAACAAGAGCTCATAGTAATCGGCACCTATATTAAGAAATGTCTGTAGGGAAAAAACTACTTAGAAACCAAAAAGTCAAACTGCTTCTCGGTTTGATTCAAAATTGTGGCGAATTTAATGTTATTACTGTAATTTATGTAGTCACTAAGCATTAACAAAACACTTTGCGAAAAAAATTCAATTTTTCTAATAACTGCGAGGGAAATCTAGCAGATTATGAAAATAGAAGTCACGCGTATCGGTGTTTGAAAAGTTTACATCGCAAAGTAACCTAAATAGACGTATCAGGTTCCTCCCTGTGCCAAACTTTTGGAAACTTTCGGATTAAGATTCCTTGGTATGTAGTGTTTTCGGCAATATTGCCGATAAAAATAAGAAAAGGCTGAAGGCTTCAATTAAAACTGACTAAAACTAAGTATCCTTATCAAATTTTAAAGATAAATTGTCTGAGTTTCTTTTTTTTAAGACCCAACTTTTTTACAATTTTTAAAAATTTTCAAAGCAAAACTACTCGAATTTTTTAGAAATGTGAAAGATATGAATTTCTGAATATTTTATACCCCGCTTTACCTTTTTTTAATTTTTATGTGCATTTTAGGGGTCTTTTTAAAGATTTCTTAATATGGATCCATACGGAATCTGTATCGATTTGTATAGAAAATTAGTTGTCATTTAAGGTAAAGTCTATTGCGAACTCCAAGTACCAACATTAAACCATTCCCTTTAAAAATGAGGCAAGAATGATCAAATACCAAATATCGGAAAGTACCGTAATATGTGGGTTAAGGAAGAGGTGGAACAAGTGTATGGGCAATTTTCTGTAATAGGTTGTGGTGTTCATGTCGAATTCCAAATAAGAAACAATTCCGTTAAAAGATGTCACACATCGTCATCAAAATATCGAATATTGGGAGGTACAGTTATACAAAAACTTGGACCTATATGGAGAGTACTTTGTAAGTATGTTTTGTACCTACCGGGTACACAAACAGCCAATTTACCGGTGGCACTCATAATACCTTAAATCGGGGTTATACGAAAATGTGGACCCATATGACCCATTTTCAATACCAAAAATCTAGGGACCTATTATACATCTGAGTAAAATGTTATCAAACTAATTAATTTCGTTCGGAAGCTAGAGTTATTTCGTCACATGGATAGCATCGGACTAATTTGACACAGAATTTTAAGTTGACCAAGAACATACATATATACTTTGTGGGGTCTAAAGTGAATATTTCAAGGAGTTACAAATGGAATGTCAAAAGTATAGGGTAAAATATACTAGGTATACGTAAGTCGATTATTTTCCATTTATTTCCTTTATTCGACCTTTGGTGTTGAAAAGTCTAAAAGTCGAAGTAGAAATTTTCCTAAGTTCATTCTTGTAATAATAATCACCCAACAGCTAAAATAATAATCTCCCAACAGATCGACCGATTGATCTTATCATCTATTTAGGAGAACTAAAACTGAAAAAAAAAAACTAAAATCGTTCATCAACTTTAAAATGTCAAAATGGATTTTTAATGGATTGGATTGGATCGAATTTGCGGAAATAGTAGCTTCTTTCAGGTTCCAGAACAGAGCATAAAAAATCGAATAATCTAAAACTGAACATTTGTTTTCAATTGCGAATGCCATAAAAATGTACTTCAACTTTTTGTGTTTATTGGCGACATTTATAACACATTTTCCTACCATAAGACCTAATTTGATCCGGGTTCAATTCGATTTATATGTGTCAATGTATTTTTATGGTAGCGTTCATTGCCAAAGAGAGATGAGATGAATCTAGGAACAGTACATTTGTTTGGTTAAAGGACCAGCCTTAGAGAAGTTGGTGGTGATAGGTTTAGATTTGGCTATCGCTCTAGTGTATTTTCGGCCGATTTGAGATTTAAGGTTGAGATAAAAAAAAAACTGCAACAAAGCCAAACGCCATAACTTTTAATTTTTTTTTTTAATTTTATTGAATGAAAGCAAAAATGTCGGAAATAGCATCAAATTTTAGAATATGTTTAGATTTGTTCGAATTGGTCACCTTTGACACGAATTATGGCCTTCAATCGGCCAATGAAACCGTCACACGCTGCCCGAATGTTGCTCTGCGGTATTTTGGTATTTTGGCCCATTCCCGGCTAAGCGCTTGCTTGAGGTGATCGACACTTTGGTATTTGGTAGTGCCAATCTTGCTTTCCAAAATACTCTAGACACAATAGTCCAACGGATTGGTGTCCGGAGATTTTGGTGGCCATTGTGCGTTAGAAATGAAGAGAGGAACCTCTTTTTGTAACCATTCTTGGTTAGCGCGTGCTGAGTGCGATGGTGCTGAGTCCTGTTGGAATGTCCAAGGTCTGCGGCCAAAATGTTTGCGTGCCCAAGGATTTAATACACCCTCCAGAATATTTCCGCGATAATATTCGGCCTTTCTTTTGATGTCACGGTCGATTATTGCGAGCCCACACCATCACCATGGCCGGCGCTTGAGTTCTGGTTGTTGACCTCTTTGGCAAGTAAACACGATCATTTTGTTTGCTTACAAGCTGCTGGACAACGAATGTTTTCTTATCGAAGAAAACCAAATACGGCAGTTTACCACTTTCGGCCAAGCGAAGCAACGCTTTAGCTCTTTTGGGTCTATTTTCTTCCTGTTGCGCTGTAAGTTCTTGCACTTTTTGGAATTTCAATGGCTTTACCCCGAGCTCATTTTTCAATATTTGCCGAATATTGCGACATGTTCAGCTCACGAACCTTTTTTCGGCCACTGCGACGCGAGTTTCGAACAAGTCGCTTCTTTACTTTTCGAACCATTTCTGCTGATGTTGCTGTTTTCTTCCGTCCACTTCCTTGACGTTGGGCTACGCTACCAGTATCACGGTAACGAGCGATGGTACGAAACACAAAATATTTATTCACATTTAAATGCTGTAGTGCTCTAACGATAGGTACTTGTGGTTTTCCGGCCAAATATAAAGAAATCACACTATCCCGCTTGAATTCCATAACGAATAACATTGTTTTTGGAAAATTCTCATCAAAATGTTTTTTGTACGCTTGTAAACAATATAATGAGCTGTCACTGGGATAATTTTAACAACTTTTGGACGAGTGGCTTAGAAATGGCAGCAGTTTGAATTTGGATGCAGTGTTTCATCTCACCCTGTACAACAATTTAAAGTCCGTCTCTTTAATATTAGGAATAATAAAAAGATGGAATTATGACTTCATTTTCCAAAGGGTGATGTTTGTGTGTTTTAGGATTAGAAACAATTCGACAAGCAAAGGAATTTAACTGTAACTTGGCCGGTAGGTGATTCTAGATAACATTGTACAACAAGTTTCGGGTGGTGGCCAAAAAAAGTCTATGACCACATCCAGTAT